AATCCTTAGGTCGCTGGTTCAACTCCGGCTCGAAGGAGGTGCTTTATGTTTGTGTCCGACTGACAAAACAAGAAGCCGAGATGGGTTTCATTGCTGATATGTTCAGACAAGCTTAGCTTGTCCAATCCCAGCGCTAGAAGGTAAAACACACAGACAAAGATATGTTATGCCAATTCTGTGTAGTTCTTCTGCAATTATTAGAAGCCGAGATGGGTTTCTTTGCTTGAAATGTTCAGACAAGCTTAGCTTGTCCACATCCAGTGCTAGCAGGTGAAACGCAGAGAAAGAAACATGTTCTGCTAATTCTGTTTGTTAGTTCTTCTGATATTTTTTAGAAGCTAAGATGGGTTTCTTTGCTGATATGTTCAGACAAGCTGAGCTTGTCCACATCCAGCGCTAGAAGGTAAAACACAGAGACTGTTCTGCTAATTCCGTGTAGTTCTTCTGCAATATTAGAAGCCGAGATGGGTTTCATGCTTGATATGTTCAGACAAGCTTAGCTTGTCCACATCCAGCGCTAGAAGGTAAAACACAGAGACATGTTCTGCTATTCCGTGTAGTCTTCTGCAATATTAGAAGCTAAGATGGGTTCTTTGCTTGATATGTTCAGACAAGCTGAGCTTGTCCACATCCAGCTCTAGAAGGTAAAACACAGAGACATGTTCTGCTAATTCCGTGTAGTTCGTCTGCAATTATTTAGAAGCCGAGATGGGTTTCTTTGCTTGAAATGTCAGACAAGCTTAGCTTGTCCACATCCAGTGCTAGCAGGTGAAACGCAGAGACAGAACCATGTTCTGCTAATTCTGTGTAGTTCTTCCGATATTTTTAGAAGCTAAGATGGGTTTCTTTGCTTGATATGTTCAGACAAGCTGAGCTTGTCCACATCCAGCGCTAGAAGGTAAAACACAGAGACATGTTCTGCTAATTCCGTGTAGTTCGTCTGCAATTATTTAGAAGCGAGATGGGTTTCTTGCTTGAAATGTTCAGACAAGCTTAGCTTGTCCACATCCAGTCCTAGCAGGTGAAACGCAGAGACAGAAACATGTTCTGCTAATTCTGTGTAGTTCTTCTGATATTTTTTAGAAGCTAAGATGGGTTTCTTTGTTGATATGTTCAGACAAGCTGAGCTTGTCCACATCCAGCGCTAGAAGGTTAAAACAAGAGGACATGTTCTGCTAATTCCGTGTAGTTCGTCTGCAATTATTTAGAAGCGAGATGGGTTTCTTTGCTTGAAATGTTCAGACAAGCTAGCTTGTCCAACATCCAGTGCTAGCAGGTGAAAGCCAGAGACAGAAAACATGTTCTGCTAATTCTGTGTAGTTCTTCTGATATTTTTAGAAGCTAAGATGGGTTTCATTGCTTGATATGTTCAGACAAGCTGAGCTTGTCCACATCCAGCGCTAGCAGGTGAAACACAGAGACATGTTCTTCTAATTCTGTGTAGTTCTTCTGCAATTATTTCAGCAGGTAAGTCTGACTTTAGTCAACAATGAACCAGTTTAAACAAGCATTTCCACAGTGTGATAAAGGTTTATGTTATGTCCATGTCCTTGTTATTGGGTGTTCTCAAAAGTGATGCGTTCCCTTCGAAGCTCAGTGGTAGAGCGGAGGACTTAGATTCATAATGTCAGAATCCTTAGGTCGCTGGTTCAACTCCGGCTCGAAGGAGGTGCTTTATGTTTGTGTCCGACTGACAAAACAAGAAGAGAGAGGGTTTCATTGCTTGATATGTTCAGACAAGCTTAGCTTGTCCACATCCAGCTCTAGAAGGTAAAACACAGAGACATGTTCTGCTAATTCCGTGTAGTTCGTCGCAATTATTAGAAGCCGAGATGGGTTTCTTTGCTGAAATGTTCAGACAAGCTTAGCTTGTCCAATCCAGTGCTAGCAGGTGAAACACAGAGACAGAAACATGTTCTGCTAATTCTGTGTAGTTCTTCTGATATTTTTAGAAGCTAAGATGGGTTTCTTTGCTTGATATGTTCAGACAAGTGAGCTTGTCCACATCAGCGCTAGAAGGTAAAACACAGAGACATGTTCTGCTAATTCCGTGTAGTCGTCTGCAATTATTTAGAAGCCGAGATGGGTTTCTTTGCTTTATATGTTCAGACAAGCTTAGCTTGTCCACATCCAGCTCTAGAAGGTAAAACACAGAGACATGTTCTGCTAATTCCGTGTAGTTCGTCTGCAATATTTAGAAGCCGAGATGGGTTTCTTTGCTTGAAATGTTCAGACAAGCTTAGCTTGTCCACATCCAGTGCTAGCAGGTGAAACACAGAGACAGAAACATGTTCTGCTAATTCTGTGTAGTTCTTCTGATATTTTTTAGAAGCTAAGATGGGTTTCTTTGCTTGATATGTTCAGACAAGCTGAGCTTGTCCACATCCAGCGCTAGAAGGTAAAACACAGAGACATGTTCTGCTAATTCCGTGTAGTTCGTCTGCAATTATTTAGAAGCGAGATGGGTTTCTTTGCTTGAAATGTTCAGACAAGCTTAGCTTGTCCACATCCAGTGCTAGCAGGTGAAACGCAGAGACAGAAACATGTTCTGCTAATTCTGTGTAGTTCTTCTGCAATTATTTCAAGCAGGTAAGTCTGACTTTAGTCAACAATGAACCAGTTTTAAACAAGCATTTCCACAGTGTAATAAAGGTTTCTGTTATGTCCATGTCCTTGTTATTGGGTGTTCTCAAAAGTGATGCGTTCCCTTCGATAGCTCAGTTGGTAGAGCGGAGGACTGTAGATTCATAATGTCAGAAATCCTTAGGTCGCTGGTTCAACTCCGGCTCGAAGGAGTTGCTTTATGTTTGTGTCCACCTGACAAAACAAGAAGCCGAGATGGGTTTCATTGCTTGATATGTTCAGACAAGCTTAGCTTGTCCACATCCAGCGCTAGAAGGTAAAACACACAGACAAAGATATGTTATGCCAATTCTGTGTAGTTCTTCTGCAATTATTTAGAAGCCGAGATGGGTTCTTTGCTTGATATGTTCAGACAAGCTTAGCTGTCCACATCCAGCGCTAGAAGGTAAAACACAGAGACATGTTCTGCTAATTCCGTGTAGTTCGTCTGCAATTATTTAGAAGCGAGATGGGTTTCTTTGCTTGAAATGTTCAGACAAGCTTAGCTTGTCCACATCCAGTGCTAGCAGGTGAAACGCAGAGACAGAAACATGTTCTGCTAATTCTGTTAGTTCTTCTGATATTTTTAGAAGCTAAGATGGGTTTCTTTGCTTGATATGTTCAGACAAGCTGAGCTTGTCCACATCCAGCGCTAGAAGGTAAAACACAGAGACATGTTCTGCTAATTCCGTGTAGTTCGTCTGCAATTATTTAGAAGCCGAGATGGGTTTCTTTGCTTGAAATGTTCAGACAAGCTTAGCTTGTCCAATCCAGTCCTAGCAGGTGAAACGCAGAGACAGAAACATGTTCTGCTAATTCTGTGTAGTTCTGATTTTTTAGAAGCTAAGATGGGTTTCTTTGCTTGATATGTTCAGACAAGCTGAGCTTGTCCACATCCAGCGCTAGAAGGTAAAACACAGAGACATGTTCTGCTAATTCCGTGTAGTTCGTCTGCAATTATTTAGAAGCCGAGATGGGTTTCTTTGCTTGAAATGTTCAGACAAGCTTAGCTTGTCCACATCCAGTGCTAGCAGGTGAAACGCAGAGACAGAAACATGTTCTGCTAATTCTGTGTAGTTCTTCTGATATTTTTAGAAGCTAAGATGGGTTTCTTTGCTTGATATGTTCAGACAAGCTGAGTTTGTCCACATCCAGCGCTAGCAGGTGAAACACAGAGACATGTTCTTCTAATTCTGTGTAATTCTTCTGCAATTATTTCAAGCAGGTAAGTCTGACTTTAGTCAACAATGAAACCAGTTTTAAACAAGCATTTCCACAGTGTGATAAAGGTTTCTGTTATGTCCATGTCCTTGTATTGGGTGTTCTCAAAAGTGAGGACTGTAGATTCATAATGTCAGAAATCCTTAGGTCGCTGGTTCAACTCCGGCTCGAAGGAGGTGCTTTATTTGTGTCCGACTGACAAAACAAGAAGCCGAGATGGGTTTCATTGCTTGATATGTTCAGACAAGCTGAGCTTGTCCACATCCAGCGCTAGAAGGTAAAACACAGAGACATGTTCTGCTAATTCCGTGTAGTTCTTCTGCAATTATTTAGAAGCTGAGATGGGTTTCTTTGCTTGATATGTTCAGACAAGCTGAGCTTGTCACAATCCAGCGCTAGAAGGTAAAACACACAGACAAAGATATGTTATGCCAATTCTGTGTAGTTCTTCTGCAATTATTTAGAAGCGAGATGGGTTCTTTGCTTGATATGTTCAGACAAGCTTAGCTTGTCCACATCCAGCGCTAGAAGGTAAAACACAGAGACATGTTCTGCTAATTCCGTGTAGTTCGTCTGCAATTATTTAGAAGCCGAGATGGGTTCTTTGCTTGAAATGTTCAGACAAGCTTAGCTTGTCCACATCCAGTGCTAGCAGGTGAAACGCAGAGACAGAAACATGTTCTGCTAATTCCGTGTAGTTCGTCTGCAATTATTTAGAAGCCGAGATGGGTTTCTTTGCTTGAAATGTTCAGACAAGCTTAGCTGTCCACATCCAGTCCTAGCAGGTGAAACGCAGAGACAGAAACATGTTCTGCTAATTCTGTGTAGTTCTTCTGATATTTTTAGAAGCTAAGATGGGTTTCTTTGCTTGATATGTTCAGACAAGCTGAGCTTGTCCACATCCAGCGCTAGAAGGTAAAACACAGAGACATGTTCTGCTAATTCCGTGTAGTTCGTCTGCAATTATTTAGAAGCCGAGATGGGTTTCTTTGCTTGAAATGTTCAGACAAGCTTAGCTTGTCCACATCCAGTGCTAGCAGGTGAAACGCAGAGACAGAAACATGTTCTGCTAATTCTGTGTAGTTCTTCTGATATTTTTTAGAAGCTAAGATGGGTTTCATTGCTTGATATGTTCAGACAAGCTGAGTTTGTCCACATCCAGCGCTAGCAGGTGAAACACAGAGACATGTTCTTCTAATTCTGTGTAGTTCTTCTGCAATTATTTCAAGCAGGTAAGTCTGACTTTAGTCAACAATGAACCAGTTTTAAACAAGCATTTCCACAGTGTGAAAAGGTTTCTGTTATGTCCATGTCCTTGTTATTGGGTGTTCTCAAAAGTGAGGACTGTAGATTCATAATGTCAGAAATCCTTAGGTCGCTGGTTCAACTCCGGCTCGAAGGAGGTGCTTTATGTTTGTGTCCGACTGACAAAACAAGAAGCCGAGATGGGTTTCATTGCTTGATATGTTCAGACAAGCTGAGCTTGTCCACATCCAGCGCTAGAATGTAAAACACAGAGACATGTTCTGCTAATTCCGTGTAGTTCTTCTGCAATTATTAGAAGCTGAGATGGGTTTCTTTGCTTGAAATGTTCAGACAAGCTTAGCTTGTCCACATCCAGCGCTAGAAGGTAAAACACACAGACAAAGATATGTTATGCCAATTCTGTGTAGTTCTTCTGCAATTATTTAGAAGCCGAGAGGGTTTCTTTGCTTGATATGTTCAGACAAGCTTAGCTGTCCACATCCAGCGCTAGAAGGTAAAACACAGAGACATGTTCTGCTAATTCCGTGTAGTTCTTCTGCAATTATTAGAAGCCGAGATGGGTTCTTTGCTTGAAATGTTCAGTCAAGCTTAGCTTGTCCACATTCAGTGCTAGCAGGTGAAACGCAGAGACAGAAACATGTTCTGCTAATTCTGTGTAGTTCTTCTGATATTTTTTAGAAGCTAAGAGGGTTTCATTGCTTGATATGTTCAGACAAGCTGAGTTTGTCTACATCCAGCGCTAGCAGGTGAAACACAGAGACATGTTCTTCTAATTCTGTGTAGTTCTTCTGCAATTATTTCAAGCAGGTAAGTCTGACTTTAGTCAACAATGAACCAGTTTTAAACAAGCATTTCCACAGTGTGATAAAGGTTTCTGTTATGTCCATGTCCTTGTTATTGGGTGTTCTCAAAAGTGAGGACTGTAGATTCATAATGTCAGAAATCCTTAGGTCGCTGGTTCAACTCCGGCTCGAAGGAGGTGCTTTATGTTGTGTCCGACTGACAAAACAAGAAGCCGAGATGGGTTTCATGCTGATATGTTCAGACAAGCTGAGCTTGTCCACATCCAGCGCTAGAATGTAAAACACAGAGACATGTTCTGCTAATTCCGTGTAGTTCTTCTGCAATTATTTAGAAGCTGAGATGGGTTTCTTTGCTTGAAATGTTCAGACAAGCTTAGCTTGTCCACATCCAGCGCTAGAAGGTAAAACACACAGACAAAGATATGTTATGCCAATTCTGTGTAGTTCTTCTGCAATTATTTAGAAGCCGAGATGGGTTTCTTTGCTGATATGTTCAGACAAGCTTAGCTTGTCCACATCCAGCGCTAGAAGGTAAAACACAGAGACATGTTCTGCTAATTCCGTGTAGTTCTTCTGCAATTATTTAGAAGCCGAGATGGGTTTCTTTGCTTGAAATGTTCAGTCAAGCTTAGCTTGTCCACATTCAGTGCTAGCAGGTGAAACGCAGAGACAGAAACATGTTCTGCTAATTCTGTGTAGTTCTTTGATATTTTTAGAAGCTAAGATGGGTTTCATTGCTTGATTGTTCAGACAAGC